TTAGATAGATTTCCCACAAGTTTTCTCCAGCCCCTGTTGAAGTTTTCCAGAGTTCCAGTTTACATTTTTTAGGCACAGGCTTCCCACTAATGTTCTCAGCCCCTAGCTGAAGCTGGGAAGCGTAGTCTATTTCAATAAAGTTTGTGTTTTGAATACATTGCTGTGCTTACTGTTCCATATGAGTATTGACAAGATTTCAATTGTTTATTGCATATAATGTAAGTCCAAAACAAATACTGTATGAAAAATGTAAAAATAATTGAATGTCCCACATATATTAAGATATCTAGAAATCTGGCCTCTTTTTGTCTTGTGTCCATTTTGTTTCGTTAATCTGCATACTCAGAACTACCAGAAYGGGGAAAAGGCAGTTGTTGTGAAAGTAAATACATAAAATATGAGTATTTATTGTCCAAGACTTCGCCATGAGTCTCAGACACTTTACAATTGGGACCAGTCCAGTGTGGAAATAGGACTGATGCAAACAGTAGGTTTAGCTCAGGCTTTGAGAAGTGCTGAAGAGTTCCAGAGCTCACTTAAATATTTTCTTAAAGACATCTCTGCTTGGGGCACACTCAGACCACCCCAAGAAGGAAAAGGAGCTCTCAGGAAATGGAGCAGAGTGATTTGAACACAGATCCCACAGGGAAATTGAGACATCCCACTGGATTTTCCAATTGAAAGGGCTTTACCGTGACATCAGGTGTCAGGGATGCATTTGGAAAGGGTCACAAAAGGAACAGAAAAACCCCTCCCTTATTTTCCAGCCATTTCAGAAACACAAATTTTGAAATTTTAGCAGAGMTTTACAAGTGAATCAAGGTTAGAAAAAAAGCCTTTTACATATCTCCACAGCGCTCCCTGCCTTAAAAATCAGCAGTGCAAACTGTGCTGAAGAAGTGAAGATGGAAATCATAAGGGTGTAAGCAACCAGTGCTTGATAGAGTGGATTGAATCCTGGAACGTGWAGGGCAAAGCATTTCACAGCTCAARTCCARGGAAAAGGTCCTGGCAAGTGTCACTGAGGGAAGCACCAGCACAAAGAAAAGCTGGGGACTTWAAACTACTAGAAAAATGGAAAGAAAAGGCACAAAAGTAGAATCAGATGGGAAGAGGCTCCAGGTGAGCTGTGTGCTGAAGGAAGGGCAGCCATGGGGGCTTTGTCCAATCGGAGCAGAGGGATGGCAATGGCAGGGCAGCTCAGGCCCGTATGTCACCTGGGATCAGACCACGAGGTGCTCCACCCATCGCCTGCTGCTGGAGCACCAGCTGGGAAGGAGTTTTCCAGCTTGGAAGCAAGGCCTCCATGCACAGAACTTTCAGGGGAGAGAAGTGGGCTTCACTCGGTGTCGCCTTCTCTGTTTTCTGTTCTCCTTCCTTTTCTGTTGCTGCTCTTTCCGGGCTCTGGCCATGGTAGTTGTGATGCACTGAGAATCCAGAAAGTCCAGCAGCTTTGCCTTGGAAATTTTAATGCCATTCTGTTTGAGCTCTGCRTGCAGATCAGCCAGCTCAATGGGCTCATAGAAGAGAATCCTGTTGTACAGGGCTGTGTTTGAGCGGATGTAGCACTTTACTGCCTCCAACTTTTCCTGCTCCYGAGCTGCTGCTTGAGATGCTGGAAACTCCTCTTCCTCCTCCTCAGATGCAAAAGCACAGGTTTCAAATCCATTCACAAAGGAACTAAAAGCAGGACGAAACAGACCAGAGGTCAAGGAAAGAACAAGCCAACAAGACAGGACCAGAGCTCCCCAAATCCCTGATGGTGAAGCCCTAYGAACATCGCTCTGCAGGATCACAGACCTTGTATTACCAGCACCCACAAAATGAATGAGGAAGAACATAGCAGGGCTTCTGCAAACTTCCCATCCCAGCTAGGACAGCGCTGGTCCTGCTCACCCAGCCTAGAGCTGTATGGAATTTCTTGCTCCTGGCCCTTCCCTCCTGGCAGGCTCTGCCAAGCGCTGCTGTGCCCTCCTCTCCCAACCCCAGCTGCAGGTTCTCAGGCAGCATGGAGTGCTCCTGGTCACTGACCTGTAAGGCCAGATTTGGGCCTTACTCCTAAGCAGCCCTTTTATGTTCTGAGAATAGTTCAGTGGGAATTAGACTGATAATCCAAAACCCATTTCTTCTCTAGGAGTGTGCTGACCTCCACATGACACACTCAAGGAGATGGCAGGGCCACTTTAGGCCACAGGGACACACAACTCTTTTTGCCTCATTCCTACCTCTCTCTGTCCTGCACCACTGWGTGTTTTGTCTAGGATTTCACTGCCTCACCTCTGTGAACCAAAGGAGATGTCACTTCCATCCACTGAAGAACCTGCTGACTCCTGGGATGCCGGGATCTCCTTGCCATCAGCTGCCAGAGACACAGACGGCCCTTCCTGCTCTTTGGCTCCTTCTGGATGATGTGTCACTTCAGTTCCCTCCTTGGGTGCTACACAGCTTGTTCTTTGGGATGCCCCACCAGCTTTATCCCTAGGGAGCACTGCAGAAGCCTTGGCAAGCTGCTTCCTCTTGCCCACAGCCCTCGGGGCACTGGCACGATTCTTGCCTGCAGCCCCACCTGCCTTTGGCTGTCTCGGCCGTTTGGCCGGGGACTTCTGTGGGAGGGGCTGGGAATAGGGGATTTCATCTTCAAAGTCAGAGTCCCCGTCCCTGTGAGTGTACTGGAATATCTCCTTCAGCTTCAACACCATCTGGCGTTTTGGCAGAGCACGAACRCCAAATCTGAAAAAGAAAGGTAGGAGTTCAAGTTACAATAATGCTGCACCTTCCATTGTCACAGCTCAGCAAGAAGTTCAGGCCAGGAAATGCAGCTGGAAAAGTGTGAGGTGACCTCAGAAAGCACTGACTGAAGCTTCACCATGGCCTCCCTTCTTTCACACTGCCTGCCAGCAGGTTCCTCTTGTAAAGAGCCATCCTGGGGGTGTGGTGCTCACCTGCTCAGCTCCTTCTTCAGCTGCGGGGTCTCCATGATGGAATACGCTGGCATGGGTGTCACTGGAGTRTTGGGGAACCTGTCYTTCTCCTGACAGGAAGGYTCTGCAGAATGAAATGACAGTCATGAGAATCAGTACAGAAAGGATTTAAAGTGGCGGGTAACTTCTCTTATTTATGGAAATCTAATATTATCTAATAATTGTTTAATAGAAATTACCTCCTTATAAGCTGTTTTAGCTGTTACTCAGCTTCATATTGGACAGAACAGTCAACACTCTTTCCCCGCTTAATCGGGATAGACAGTTTTCACTGACTTTACATCAGAAAACAGCTTAAATCAGAGCATATGTCCCATTCTGAAAATGACATTTAGGGCTTTGTTGGAACAAACAACATTTAGAGAAGAGTTAAATCATGTTGATTGAATTCTGTGCAGAGGTCCTTCTCCCAGGAAGGAAATTTCATAATAGAGACTTGATGCATAAAAAGTTGAGCAAATCAAGTTGCTGGGATCTGGAGTTAGATGCTGATTTAATGATACCAGTTTACTGATACTGTGAAGCACAGCCAGTCTCACACATTGTGTTCCAAACACCCCTTAAACTAATAATTTAGTATGGTATAATTAATAATATATTTAATCAGATACTGTGACATCAATTACATCAATCCACTGGCAGGCAGGCTGGAGGCTGTGTTTTATTCTGTTTTGGTTAGTTATTCTCTCTCCCAGTACCCACACCTTCTGCAAGGAGAACTGTCACTACCAAAGGACTGGACTGGAGTGTGGCTACGCTCCAGGAATCCCACATTTAGACAGGCTCTTTCCCATAGCAAATGACTGCACCTTCTTTGTGCCTGGCCCTGACAACTGCCTTGCATCAGAAGGCCCAAAGACTCTTTCACTGTGTCAGGTGACACACAGGTAAGACAAGCACTAAAATAAAGCCAGTTTAACCTAGCCCAATAAATCAAAGTATAAATACAAGCTCTCACCAGGAGTCTTGACAGGATCTGCCTGACCAGCCCCTGCTGCAGCTGCCAACCTCTGAGACAGAGGAAGAATCTCTGGAAGTTCATCTTCCTTCTCTTCTCCATTCCAATCATCCCAGATTTTGGAGTCCAGGTAACTGGCTCTGCTGTCCACTGATGAACATGGCTCAATWGGGCTCTTCTCAGGGCAGAACAAAGCTGTTCTCCTGCCAGCAGGACTTCCTTGGAGAGGGGTGCTGCCCTTAATTCCCTGCTCCTGGACTGGGCTCTTCCCCTGCTCCTGCCCAGAGCCAGGGCTGGGGCTGCTGGAAATGCTGGTCTTTGCATGGCTGACCTGGCCAGCRTTGTGGCTCTCACCTCTGACTGGTGACTGATAGCCAATGAGCCAGCAGTCATCAACAGGGATTGGGGGCTCCTCACACAGCAGGACACTGCTACCCAGAGAAGGCAGACTGACTTCCCTGTCACTGTCCTCCAGCTCAATCACACTGATGTTTGTTTTATCTTCCAGTGGCTGCTCCTGGCACGGAAGCACCGGTGAGGGTAAACCTGAGATTTTGGCATGTTTGCTTTCTGTATTGGTGTGGCAAGAGGGGAGGAGAACTGGATCCACTGGAGAAACTGGAAGGGAATTCTTGGAAAAGGATCCTGCTGCTGGGCTGCTGGGGGGGTTCCTTTCACTGGCCGAGTTCTCCATAGGCAAACATTTGTTTGACAACATTGTTTCACGAACTTTTATCAAATTTCCAGTCATTTCATGGTTACTATTACCTGCTGCTAAGTTCTTTGTGCTGAGTTTAGATTCTGAACTCTTTAAAGAATTAATACTTGTGACCTGAGTCTGTGTTGCGAAGCTTCTGCTTTTGCTCAGAACTGGTGTTGCTGGCACAAGCCAGGAGCTGTCTGTGCCTGCAGACATTTCATGACTGAGCCTTTTCCCAGGGCTCAGGTTTGGACTCTGTTTGCTCTCTGTACAAGCAYCTGTTTGTCTGCTGAGAGGAGATTCAGGGGACACCTCTGCATCACCATGTACACACACTGTGTCTGTATTGCCACATGAGATCTGGGCTGATCTCTGCTCTGTTTCAGAGACTGATGAGTTATGGTCAGRTTTTGGTATCTCAGGACCTTGTTTTATGTCTGTACACTTCAGGTGCCCAGGGATTTCTATTTTCTCCMGAGTGCAGATGGACTCTGGAAACTTCTTGTCTTGTTGTAACTCCATTTCATCATCAGAAGAAGACAAACAAATAGCATCACTCTCCTGGATCCCCTGACCTGCAGCATCMTGAGTCCTGCCTGGTGATGACAACACTGGAACAAGTGTGTGCTTGYTTGATTCCCAGTGGGAAAGCTCTGCTGGAGAAACTGCGTCCCCGTTTCTTGATGCAGCATCCAGCACCTTGGCTTTTTTGGAGTGTATTTCATCAGATGGGTATGATTTCTCCTTTTTGTTTTGCTTTGGTGTTGACACATGTTCTCTGACAAACTTTCTCTCTGAGTTTGGAGATGCAGGTGAAGAGCCAAGAGTAGGAAAAAGGGACACATAAGGCTGGTGAGCTGGACTCCCACATAAACCATTCTTACATGGAGAGCAGTCTTTTTGTGACTTGATCAACACAAGTGAATCATTAAGACCAACATGTTTTTCACTAGGGGACTTTCCTGATTCTCTGATAATTTCTTTCTCTGGGGAAGGATCACAGTGATTCCCTTGAGAGGCAGAAAACATATATTCATAGCTGTCATTTAAATTAGTATCACCTTGGAAACCAGGAAACTGCTCTTCACAGTGATCTGCCTTGTCRTTTGAGACCTGAGGTGACTTTGAATCCTTCACACGCTCACATCCCTCAACAGCTCCTCCATCATTAGCACCATGGGATGTTCCAACCCATTCCTGAGGTTCACTGAGGTGAGGCACAATAGTGGTCTGTGGGTCATTCATGCTCTTGAGTCTATTTACATTCTGCATCTTCTCTTCTTGTGCAGACGAGCCACATTTAGATCCTTCCACACCGTTGCCATCCCTCGGGTCTTTGAGGCTGTTGCATAATGAAGCAGTTTCAGGTCTCTTTAACTCTTCCTCCTCAGGTTGCTGGTTTGTACCTTGGGCTGCCTCASTGTCATTGTAGATGCTGCAGTGTGTTCCTTCACTCACCTCTCTTTCCCCCTGAGCCATCTTCCTCTGAGTTGCAGCAAACTCATAGATTTCCTCCAGCTCCTGTTCACCCACCTCATTGTCATCTTCCTTCTGGCACTCAAGGTTCAGCATATCTACTTCTTCCTCATCTTCACCCACCCACACTGACTTCAAGAGCTCTTGGAAATTCTCAGCTCTGTCCTCAAAATCTTCCTCATCCCTCACAGAGATAAGATCWTCTTCTGAATCCACTCCAGAAGACACCTGGCTCTCTCCAGCATTGTTTTCACAYTTTGCCATCAGTTCCCTCACACTAAACCTGCAAGGGTACAATAGTATTAGTCTTCACATCAGTATTAACATTAGTATTAACRTTAGTATTCCCTCCTCCAGTATTTCTTCACCATTTGACTGTCAGACCACTTAAGTGAGATGGGTAAGGAATTTACATGAGGATGCTGAGTTGTGTTTCCCAAGATGCATGGAATGGCTGGGGCTGGATAATATCTGCCATGTGCAAGATTCCTGGCTTTTTGGAGTGACAGGGCATTTCTCTACATACATTTGGCAAGCCCCAAACATTTCCCCTCATATCTCAGCACCTGCTCCTGTTTCAAGTGCTTCACTTATTGCACGCCTGGGACCATGACTGAGAGCACAGCTGACACACCACATTAMAGTCTGAACATCCAATACATTGTGCAAATCTTGTTCAGAGGAACTGAGAATCATATACAGAAATTGTGCTCAACATCTTCAACATAAGCTGCCAACAGACATCCTGAGACAAAACTCTCAGCCAAAAGCTGCTGASTATATACTGAACACAGAAACTCAAACAGGTGGAAAAGTTGAGGGCAGGATGTCCTTATGTGCAAGTTTCATTTAAGATGTAGCAGAGGACCATGGAATTGGTAAGCTGTTAAAATGCCAACAGAAGATCTCAACCCGGGGTCTGTGTGGCTGAAAGCCTGAGGGAATCCACCACGTGCTCAGGACACGTACCTGGCAGCCAGAGCCTGCAGCTGGGGCCACAGCCCAGCAGGGAAGTTGGTGTCAGCAGCATAGAGGTACCTCAGAAAGGCTCCCACAGCCTCGGCTGACACATCGCTCAGCAGCACCCGGCGCGTCGGCGCGGCCCCATCTTCCTCCACCACCAATCCCTCACTGTGCACCTGGGGCAGAGAAAGCAAAGGCTGTTTGCTGATAAAACAACACAATACCTACATTGATCCTTGTTCCCATCAGCTCCTTCCACTCACCCATGCCCTAACACAGGACCASAATGCCAAGATGGGGCAGTTACGCAGAGCTCACTACAGAATAGGCCATATCCTTCCTGACCCTACAGCTGTCAACTGTGRTGGAGTTCAACTACTTGTCTGAGTMACACATTTAAAAGGTGGTCTTAGAGTTCTCCACTTAGATTTGGAAYCAAATTACTTCCCAGAGCACAATTWCCAGAGTTAYCTAYACYTCTTTGTAAGTGAGTTTCATCTAGTTTGTTTTGAATTTACCTGGAAGCTGCACAAGAGCAGGCTGGGAGCTAGTCAACTTAAAATGCTCTGGGAACAGAAGAACTCCTTCACTAGCCTTGCAAAAAGCACAATCAGTGCAGACATCTCCAAAGCAAGAGCAACAAAACCTCTGTGTAGATTATTTTAAGTATATAAGAAGTACTTCCCAGAATCTTCCTACTCCTTGCTCACACTTCCCAGCCTGGGTGACAGGCARGACACACAAAGATGGACAAGGCAGGCTGTGCTTGTACGGGGACAAAAATTCAAGGGCAAGAAGCACTTGGGAAGCTTCCTTCATTGCTCATGGGTAGAATGCAAAGATCCTTGACTCCCRATAGCWTCTCTRGATAAAGTACCACACCTTCMATCACTTTGTTAGGATGTGTTGTGRTTTCTTAAGCTGAAAARCCACTGCAGGTCCCGAGGCAGTGCCAYTAAGCCCAGCAGTGCTCTGTGCTGGTTCAGGTCTGTGGGAGGGGGCAGCCTGGGCTCTCCTAACCAGGAGCAGAAGGAATGCCAGCAGCACTTACAGCCTGAGCTGCTGCTGGACACCGCGCGTACAGCACAAACAGGTGGGCGTAGAGGATATCCCCGCTGTCCACCTGGAACTGGACATCACTCAGATGGGGGTTGTTGACCATGGCACCGAAATCCTGAGCCAGCAGCCCGAGAGAAGACTAGGGCATCAAAGGAACACAAAGACAGGTGTTAGGTTACAGCTGTCAAACACTTTCCTTGAAAAATAAGAGGGGACTAACCCAGTTCACCAGCACTGCTGTGCTGCGGGCCCCAGCCTGGACACACCACCACTGCCTCCTGAAGACAGACAACCATCACCTTTATGAACTTCAGGGCTTCCACAGGACAAGCAGACAAGTCTAACAGACATTCCAGCTTTRTCTTCCTCTACTTTTTCACAGCCTGGCCATTGTGGAGAAAGGGCAGTGGTGGTGTTTTGTGCTGTACTTGTGTCACCACACATTATCACCCTCAGATCTGTACCACATTTCCTGCYGTGGCCTAGCCACAGCCTATAGCTGGCCCCTTAATCTACTGCCTCCCACCACATTTTTAGGAAACTGTAACTTCCACTTCAACAGACTTGAACTCAGTTCACTAGAATTAGGGTAAGAGGAAAGAGGATGACTCAGGAGAGGGTAATGGGCCCTTTTTTTCTTTTCACTGTCTGGCAGTGACAGCTGAGAAGCGCAGGTCTGCAACAAGGGGCTACCATAAAATAAAACTAATGTAGGCATCCAGTTCAAAGGAATTTATGAGCATGCCACTGAAATATCTTTTGAAAGTTCCACTCTGTTTTAGGAAAGAAATGTAACTTTCATTATAATTCCAGAACCCCTTGCTAAGATTCTGGGGAGTGCTGAACTACCTGTGGCTGGTTACGGTGATGGCAAGGTCAGGCTTGGGGTATGCTGCTGAAAACAGCAAGGATRGCAAGACGGCTCCTCTGGAGCTGCTCCTAGGTAATCTCCTAAGGACTCAGATTCCTCCAAGTGTTGCTGCTCTGGAGGTAGCCCTGGAGTGTTTCAGTGTAGTGTGAAACAGCTCATGGCTGGGTTGAGAGACTGCCTGACTTTATGGTTTATGGTTAACATTCTAATCACTGGCCTCATGCTTTCCAACCTACTGCAGAGCTGGGAACTGCAAGTTTTATTCCAGGGAACATCTGCAGGAGATGCAGTTCCACCTGGAACAACACAGCTCTTTATTTTCTTAGCAGGTTTCTACATTAGCAGTGGRCTGTGAAGAGCCAATCTTTCAACTCACTCCAGACAGCAGGAATAAGCAGCACACGCCGGAACRCTTCTCCCAGACTTCATGGGTGGGCTAGGGAACATTCTGCATGTTGTGGCAGAACTGTGGACTGATCTCCAAATGGAAGACAGGAAACTCAGTCTGGAAACTAAACTGATTCTTCTTGCTTTCTTATTCTTGGCAGGTGGGATACCTGTGAAGCAGCTCTGGGGATGCCAGCAAACACAGGCTCCTGACGTTCCAGGCAGTGAGCCCAGAACAGCTTTCCTGCTGATGCTAAAATTATCAATCAAGAATGGGGAAATTAAACAAGGCCAGAAACCTGGCTGTTCCAGCCTCTGTGCAAGGCAAAGAAACCAGCCAGATGACAGTTCAGAGCAGGTATGAGCTGTTTTTGGAGAACACACCASAACATTCCCTCCTGCTGAGGAGGCTACTGAGACTGGACCCCACTRATGTGACCAAGGGCCTTCAGCACAGGGCATGTGTTACCCATGCAATGGGTGCATTTGCTCTACATGGTCACACTGTTCACTCTTATAAAACACAGATCTCTCCCACTGGCAATCCAGCTCTTCAGCAACACTTCATTTGCTCAGGAAAACTATAATGGAATCAAACTGAATCTGGAAAAATTACCATACTGATTTTGTTGGGAGCAACAGAGTTTCAACAACTGTGAGAACAGTTTCTGTATTGCTCAAGGCCASTGGTTTAATAGAAAAACAAAACAAACAAGACTTTTTGCCTGCTAAGGATAATTTTTTTTTAATATCCTCAAAGAATATCTAGTTTCTGTACTAAGTAGCTGGGATGCTCACATTTAATACTGATTCCCACCTCAAGGAATTGTCTCCTTTTAGAAGTATCTTAACCCTTTAAGCATGATATGAAAGTATCTTGTCAGGGCATCAGAATTTATCTAGCACCAAAATGTACTTCCTTTCATGGCATGATTATTTATTATCAAATGAAAGATAGTAAGTTTCATCAGATAAAATGGATATCCTTGGTAAGRAAATGAACTCATTTTATTTTGTATGAACTTCAATTGAATAAAACTCCCTACATTCACGGAGGATTACACATTCTCTGGTGCATGTTGGGTAAAATGGGATCTACAGAACACCACAGACTTGATAAAAAAATCATCTGTGCTCTTGTGGGCATGGATGGAACACCCCAAGTGTGCTGATCTCATCTGTGCCTCATAATAAATGCCATCTCATAATAAATCCTCACTGTGAACCTTAAGCAACTCTTGTTTCCACAAAAAGGAATGGGAAACATTCCACACTTCTTTGAGTTGCACAAATGCAACAGCTTCTTTTTTATTGTTATAGATTAATATATCAAGAGTGGGAAAAAAGGGTTATCCTTACTCTTTTACTGCTGCTCCTGAGGAGGCTCTTCTCCTTGGATGGGGGCACAAAGCCACTCTGTGGAAGATCACTGGGAGTCAGTTCTTCTCCTCAGGAAAGAAAATGCACATCACAAATCACATACAACTTCCATGTGACACAGAATGATCTAAGAACTCCTACCCACAATCCTTGTTGTGAGAGCTGCTATGACCAGCCTGGCTGGGCTRAAGGCTCAGCCTCTCCCTCATGTTTTTTTGAAAGGTTTGGCTCTGGGCTTTGACAGGCTGTGAATACCCAAGCACCATTCCACTATTATTTATATACATGAAAGGACCAGGGATCATTTGCTGCAGTTCAGCAGGGCAAGAGAGGAATATTATAATCGAGTGCAAATGGAGACAGCTGARCTTAGGAACCATGTTCTCTTTCACAGGAGATGAACAGGACACATAACAGATTCTGCTGAGGAGCCACATAAGAGATATCACTGCCCTTGAAAYGTGCAGTTGGGCACCACATGCAATTCTGACTGGGGACATTAGAGAGTTGCCCACAGAGGAATTCCAGGTGTTGTATTTTTTCAACTCTGTGTAGGCACAGATAAACTTCAGGTTTGTGTAATCGATGTCCAACACAAAATCATCCCTCTTGTGGATCTCTCTCATCCGACTGTCTCAAGACCTGAAAAGACAGTGCACATAACAGACAGGCCATGTAGACAGACTGGTTTGGGTTGGAAGGGACTTTAAAGCCCATCCAGTTCCACCCCTTGCCACAGGCAAGGACACCTTCCACTGTCTCAGGCTGCTCCAAGCCCTGTCCAGCCTGGCCTTGGACACTTCCAGGGATCCAGGGGCAGGTACAGATTCTCTGAGCACCCTGTGCCAGGGCCTCCCCACCCTCCCAGGGAAGGATTTCTTCCCAATATCTAATCTAAATATACCCTCCTTCAGTTTGAAGYCAGTCCCCCTTTTCCTATATGTCCTTGTGAAAAGTCCCTCTTCAGCTCTCTTGTATGCCCAAGATAAGCAAGAATGAAGATTTTGTTCCAGCTGTTGAACACATCCAGGCTCCCTCCTGGCAGAAAATACTTTGATATCTTTAATTTTAAAATAAAATTTAGTATCTGCTGTCCAGCARTTCTCCTAAAAGCTGCGATTTTGAGTCATTTCACAAATACCAGGTTGATTGTATCTTAATCTTATTGCAGGAAATTGTGCCCCCCACAATATCACCTCTTGGATCAACACCAACAACCTGTGGGTGCTGCCATAGCTCTCTGACTCATCCCAGCCTAAATTTGGCTGTGTGCAGATGAAGGAACCAGGGGCAGGGCTCACAAAGCTGCCAGAACTCACCTGGCTGCTCTGCTGCCTGAACATGGCCAGTGTCAAGGTTCCACTGAGTAAGGGTAAGTCCTTCCCTGGCCAATTCCACCAGGTCCTGTAGGGTCTGAGCATCCTTCTGGCTTGGGGATAAAAACTGCCCATCTCCTTCAGGGCCTGGCTTGGATTCAGAAGTTTGGCCTCCAATCTTTGTGCAAGTGGGTTCCTGGGAACTGAGGTCAGGCTGAGTTTGCTGGGATGCTTCTGGCTGATGAGATCTCACTGATGGCTGAAGGTTCTCTGGCTTATTCTAAACAGATGAGGAGGTAAAAAAGACACAAATAAATTAGTTCTTCTTTTATGTATTTGCAGAGCCCCGAGTACGGTCTCTACTTCATACTCCTGATACATCTACGAAGAATCACAGAGCATTGCCCAGCTACAGGGGCTTCTGAGGAACAGCTCCCTGCAGTTTTATGAAAGACTCTCCAGAAATAAGACAGCTGTGAACAGAAGAAAGAAAACTACAGTGGAAAATTCAGAAAATCTGTTTTTTTTCCAGGAGCATGTCTGTGCAAGCAGCTGCCAAGCAGGGAGAAAGGATGGGGATAATTCTCCCAATCCAACTTCTAAATATTTCATTATAGCTGGAGTTCCTGGCAAGTCACAGCTGWAGCTCTCCAGGTGCTTCTGTTCTGAGCTTTGAAATGCTTTTGCAGTTAAATGTAACTAAATCAAACTTTCACCTTGGAGTGGATATTTTCCAGGTTTGGTCTCCGTTTCCCAAAAAAGGATTTTGCTTGTTTATTTCTACGTAAAAATGGTTCAGCCATTTCTGCAAATGGAAAGAATCAGAGAAAAAACACACTCTTGCCATGATTTGAAAGACCTTCCTGCTTTTTATTTTTAAACTTATCTGGCAGTTTTAGGCTTGAATGAAAGGTCAAAACTTCCTAGAATGGAGTTCCTCCTCTTCAGCCTCAACCTGCAACAAGCCAGAGAAACACTGGGCTTTGACTAGGGAAAAAGAATTAAATAAAGCACCTATATTTGCACAGTAGTTTCTGAACAGAAGCACCAAATACTTCTTCAAGAAGAAAGAGGGAAGGAAGTGATATTCTTCTTGGAGAAAATAGACTAAAAGAGCTTTGTCTGTTTCTGTAGGCACTTTTTATAAAAATACAGAGCACCAAAAGAGGCAGATCCAGGTGGAACCAAAATGAAAGAGTGGAACTCAGATCTGGATCAAAGCTCACATGCACCAGGAGGCAGTGGGATGCACAGGGAAAGCCTTAATGCAAATGCTTTGCTGTACAAGTCCAGGCACTCCCACATTCTCTGTGCTAGCAGATACCTATCTTCTGTTTAAACTTTTCACTCTGATCCTTTCTGAGTCCAACAGGGGCAAAGCTCACACTAGAAATGACCAGAGAGAAGTGCCAAGGAAGACAAGAGTAAGGCTGCTGTAAACACAAACTAGTGGCACAATGAGCAGGATCAAGTCTCTTTAGTCAGTACTCTCTATTCCTRTTAGTTTTACTTTCTGAAAGCTCAAAAATCATGCTAACATGAACCTTTATCTCCTCTCCAAAAGGCAGAAATGAAAGGTAAAGGATCCTGACTGCATAAAAGCAGGGGAGAACAGGCCATGGGCAGTGAGTGTGCAGAGAGAGGGGATCACTTGTTTACATCCCAAATGAGGAAACAGAAGGGATACAGGAAAAGTATCAAGAACTAGGGCACACACATATCAGAGYAAGGATAATAACAGAGCACCCCACCTGCACAGGCTTCCAGGGTACAATTGGAGGGGTTAAGGCYGCAGTGTAGAATGATTCGGGGTCACAGGGTCCCGTCAGAGCACTGATCTTCCATAAAAAGCACTCCTTGGCTTTGGACAATGGCATGAGCCAGGCTGCTTTTCCAGATTCATTCTCCAAAATCCTGCTGATGGGCAGCTCAGGGGTGGGAGGGAATTCCATCTCTTCTGTCAGCAGCATGGCCACTCGCTCCTGGATCCTCTTGCGGACCTTCTCCGGGTCCTGGAGCAGCAGTGGTGGAGGTGCAGTGGGGCCTTTTCTACGCCTTTTTTTCTCTTTAAAAAGAAAAGGAGCCCAAATAAATAAACAGCTGGAACACACAGGGCAGGAGAGATCAACACAGCAGCTTGTTCAGTGCTGTAGTCAGTGATGACCAAAAGTCATGAGCACATAACTCTTAAGATTGAWCAGCTAGTCCAAAACCTCACATCACCCTTATAGGAGAAATAAATTCTGGAGAAGACTGACTCCTCCTCACACTGCTCTGCTGCATTTTGGGGGCCATCACATCCCTATGAAATCTGATCATTATGGAAGTCACTGGTAGCCGTGCAGCCTCCCAGCCCCATGGAATGACGCCGGTATGCCAGTGCTGCAAAACAAAGGCAATGAAAATCACCAACAGATCCATAAAGGACTCCTTTTCTTGTGTTCTGGTCATGGATGATAACAAATCACAGGTCACACAAATGCTGGGCAGCTTTCATTTGGAAATCCTGTGTTTTACTACCTCTGCCTTACTAATGCCCAACTCCAAATCCAACTGGGAGCACTTATGGGCAGGAAGAGACCTGAGAAGGGCTGTGAAGAATAAAGTCTCCCCTCTGTACAGCTCTCAGCCTGCTCCCCTGGCAGTTGTCTGCCTTTCTAAAGCCTTCTGTAYGCTGGCATAGAGAGGCACCCACTCACCAGCATGTACTGGACACACATGTCYACTCAGAAAGGACAAAATGATACGAGATAATGCTGAAAAAAGCTGCAGCAGGAGGAATAGGAAAAAAACCACTAGAAAAATAACAATCAATCATCTYTTCATGTTATTTCTTCTCACTTCTACAGTTTACAGGAAACAACAGCTTAAGAATATTTTAGATTCCAAACAACTAAATGAGTGAAAAAAACCCCAGGATTCCTAAGCAATTTCACTGAAAACCATGGACATCCTGCAGCCACTCTTGACTGCAYGTGGATACTGCATATTGCTGAAGCTCTGACAGCTTAAATAAACCAGAAACAGGGCTGTCATCCCTTCTGTATCCAACAGGGAAGCTTTGGTGGAGAGTAGCCATGTTACTCCTACAATAACACAGCCTCATACAGTAACTTGCTGTAAAACATACCTGATCCTGGCTTCCATTTGATTGGGAAAGCAGCCACTGGTTTCACATTTGTAACTGATTTTGCTTGTTCCTGCTTTTCTTGCTCCAACAGAGAGCGTGACATTGCCATGGCAACCTGCAAATCTTCATCCTTAGGCTCCATTTTGGCCCTCTTCTGTGTTTTCCTCGAGTCCTCATTGGAGGGGCCTTTCCKCTTTGCCCTGCTGGGCTGATTGCTGAAATCCAAGAATGCAGCAGGAAGCCCCAGTTAACGTGACTGGATCAGAGACAACAAACACCGAGCACTCCAGAGCAGCTGCTCCATTTGCTTGGAGAGATTCCCATATTAAGCATAATAAAAACCACTCAGTACTTTCTTTCTTAGCAGAGAGCAAAGGATTTCTTATCATTCATGGACCTTAGGGCAATTTAGAGAAGATTCATTTTGGGAAGGTAAGAACAAGATCACGGCACGGATGTGAACATCTGCTATCTCTACCTTGAATGATTTTTTCTACCAAAGGGGAACARACAAGTTGAAGCAGGGAGAAAACCAGATCACCAGAAAATGCTTTCCCGCTCCTATGCTTCCACAGGGAACAGGCAATGGTCCTTCCTTGGCACAATAGGACTTATAAGCCCCTCTACAAATTCCCTCAGGCTCCAGTTGCTGCACTCTRAAGAGTCTGCTCAAATCCAGTGAGCAGATGCAGTTCAGTACCAAGCACATTCCAAAACATCACATCTGCTTCCTCTTTGGCTCAGGGTGAAAGGACATTCCCAGGACAGCCACAAGCTGAGGAGCTGAGGCACTGGTATCTCAGGAAAGGCTCCATACTTGTACTCAGTGGTTTGCTCAATCAGCTCAAACAGACCATTCAGCTTTACTGAGCAATTGCCTCACAGAGCACAAATCATTCTCACAAACCACTGGAAGATTATTTACTCCCCATTTTASTCCTTCCTGCTGGCTTTTAAAGCCATCCCCACCTGGCCTCTTCTGAGGGAAATTAGGACAATTTTTCCAACTGACTGCCACATCCTCCTCACCTGGTTTTTGGGTCATGGCTCTACTTGACCTGCTCTGGCCCTAAGTTCCCTCAATGTGTGAGTCAGCCTTGCATTTACTGTTCATCCCCAGCTCCAACACCTCTCAGACCAAAGGAAGGAACCRACATGTTTTTTTATTCCTACCAGCTTACCTGGGACACTGAAGAGCTGCATCACCAAGCGTGGCCACCTGCAACTGCACTGCCTGAAGAAGCAGATTAGGRGGCACATCCATCTCCACAGCACAGCGTTTCAGATGACTGACTCGGCTCTGTGGGGTTTGGAACTGCTTCCCACAGATGGGACATTCAGGGACCACTGGTTTGCTGGAGGATGACAGCTGTGCTTCTTCCATCTCATCCAGACACCTGGGAGACAACAGCAAAGCTTACCTATGGGGACTTTAAAAGCATCCACACTAAGATTTGAGCCATTTGTATAATAGAAAGAATAATAATAGAAAGCACAATCACTTCTAATATCTKTAACAGCCAGGAACATCCTCTAAAGAAACAAGAATTAAGTGCCCACCACTGAGATGAACATGACATGGAGCAGTTAAATGTGGATTATGGTCTCAGAGGCATTTAAAAACATATTGCTCAAAGGCAAGTGCAGTGAATAACCTTAAAATCATAGAAGGACAGACTGGTTTGGGTTGGGAGGGATCTTTAAGRCCATCTTGATCCACCATGGGCAGGGACACCTTGCCCTAGACTAGGTTACTCCAGCCTTGCCTTGAACACCTCTAGGAATAAAGAGTCCACAGCCTCTCTGAACAACACACTTCATGTGTGTCCATCACTTAATCCCTCTTCTTGCATTCATTCCAACATTCCAACTAACTAAGAACAGAAAAGGGAGCTAATGAATTAATACCATATTCCAGAGTGCAGCATGATGAACTTCAAATAATTTCTGGCAGGTCAAAACTATGCAAAAATTTGTAGTTGTTCTTTTTCTGTCTTCTGCAAAGAGATTAAGGATATGAAATCCAGGATCTGCAGGACCAATTACAAAAGTTACTGCCTGATCAGGTAAYGACACACACAGGGCTGTGCTAAGAGACCATTCAGCTCTGGTGATTACTGGTGTGTCAGTGCATCTATCCACCTAGAGCTTCACATTTTGGGATGAAGGCTGCTATCAAAAAATCCCTAGCTAATATAACCCTGTACTCTCAGTATATGATTACATGTTCATAGTTCAGAAAGCCTGACTTCCCAAAAAGCATTTYTGTCCCAGTTTTACAGCCTCTGTCCTCTCAAGGAGCACTAAATGTCTGAAAACAGAAACAACAGCAACACCGTGAAAGCCACAGGTACAGACAAGCCTGATCAGTGGGTGCACTTAGTAACATGATGCTGAACTGGACAATTTACATCACTCCTGCTTTCTGAAAGTGCTTGAATTAAGAATTTACAGTCATTCAAATGTGCTGTTTCTGATATTTTTTTCAACAGAGAAGCACAGAGATTAAATTTCCAAAGAGCTGTAATATATAGTGTTTGATATTTACCACTAAGGAAACAAATGAYGGGCAATAATTTCAGTTGAGTCATCTTTCTGAATTGTATTGCCTTTCCATCAGGAAACAGCTCAGATACAGTGACACACCAGATGACTTTAGATGAATTTTAGCAAAACAGAGCAAACATAACCTTTTGGCTGAAATCAGTAAGCTCAAAATTTACATTAGGGAGTCATCACTAATGGAATCATCAAGGTTGGAAAAGACCTTTAAGATCACCAAGTTCCTCTGCCACACTGCTGATGAAAGCAGCATCAGCATGGCCACACACACACACAAGCCCTGCAGGGCAAGACAATCAGCCTCTGCTCTCACATCAAAATGACTCGTTAATTCAAGCCACAAAGGTCAAGGCCATTATGCAGAATCCCTACTCCTGCATTCTTCAGTGACTGGGGTGAGTGAGGAGCCTGTGGGGGACTGGATGGAAAGGACAGATCYTGCTGGTGTTTCACCTGTTGACATGTTGCTCTCGTCGCAGTGTGTTCATGGCTGTGAGATCCTTCTGGCAGATCTGACAGAAGAACAACCCTGMATCCTCCAGGCTTGCCAGAGCTTCCTCCTTGGATTCCTGCTGAAGAGCCAAAGCCAGAGCASTGTCATGTTCCATGGATGGGAGATGGTGGGTATCTGGCAAAGAACGCAGAAATGATTTAAGATGGAAAACTGTATCTTGTATGGAAGGTGAGAAGCTGTTRGACTTGTAATTATTAGCTTGTTAAACTAAACACACACAAATTAATTGCAATCTTTCTCTTGCATCTTCACATCCGATCTCTCACAAGGAAAGATACAACCTGGTCCCTTCAAACACTCCAAGACTGCACCAGCCCAGGAGCAGGAGGTGGCTGTTCCCTCATAGTGCATCACATGTCAGAGACTATGAAAGATCACTTTTGGCTGAAGTTTCAGGGGAGAATATGGAATTTTATACATCAACTGTATAACAAAGCAGATCTTCACATTCATACAGAAGCAAAAGAGATTTGATCTATAAAGAACCAAGTAAAGCAAAATTACTGTGAATTCAATTTATCTGCAGAAATCACCTCAGAGAGTGCCTAGCAATCTACCAAAGATGGGGTTACCTAAGAGCAGCCTAATACTGTCCCAAGAGAAGGATGACCAAGTTAATTGATCCTGTTGGAATTTCAACCTGTTTCCAAAAAGACAATTATTTATCTAGAATTTACATGAGGTTAATTCAGCCTKAGAAAAGAGCTGGGRAAAAAAGTATGGATAATCCTTTAATGAARTTTTCTCAGGGGTCTGGAGTGATTTGCACACCAAGCCACTAGGCCAGCTGAGAACAAAGTCCCAGGACCCAGGACTGCTCCTCAGGCAACTGCTCTCACCAGCCACTCATTCTGCACACACCAGAGCCAAGAGGAGAAACGTACCATCCTCAGGGKGGTCCTGATCCTGGCTTCCAGCAGGGAAATCGCCACTGGCTKCAGCCTTCAGCACACTCCCATCTGAGCTGTGTTTCAGCTGCTCAGGTGCCACCCTCTTGAACTGCTGCATTCTCTCCACCACCAGCTCTGCTACGCGCACCTTTGGGGTGGGTGAGGARCAGGTTCCTGGAGATGTGACAGGAAGGAAGGGTAAAATAGTCTGGGAACAGCCACTTGGAGGATTTACTAGAGGGGGAGAAAACACCAGTTTTACCCATCAGTCTTAAACACACACTGAGAGTGCTGGGARGCCCCTTCCCCAACAGCAGCCTGGGCCAGGGCCAGTTCTGCAAAAGCCATTCTTAGAGAAGTGAACRATTTGTGTAATTATCACATGACTTTATATTCAATAACCACAGAAACAGCATTGGGCACTTCTGTGCTACAGGGGAGTCTAGAAACAACTGACTCCCTTTATAAGGAGAAATAATAAGGAAGCCTTGCCTGAAGGTCACCAGCAAGGACAGTGAAGGCAGCAGTCCCACAGCCCTGTGCTCCCAGCATTCCCACCTCACAATGTCCCATGCCTGACTGATCTAATTTATCAGTTTAAGGACTTCCATCACTGGTAACTGCATYCTGGCCATCATCTTTAACAGCTACTGAAGGACTAATCCTTTATGAATTAATCCAACACCTTTCTTAACTCATTCACATTTTTGCCCTTGACAAAATCCAGTGACAATGTATGTTACCACACAATGAAGCACTGAGTGAAAAAGCACCTCTGTATAGTCTTGAGCTTGCTTCTAGATTATCTGAGAGAGTTTTTTGCAGTTCTGATGCTGCAAAAAACTGTAAATAATGACTGGCCAAGACATCACTTTGTACCAAGRCTTCACCTTACTGAGAAACATCAGCCTGCCAGAGCACAGAACACACTTCTAGGTTAAACCCCTGTGAGGTRCAAGCCTGCTTCCATCACTGCTGCTGGTGTCCCCTCCAGATGAATTTCTCAAGACCTTCACTCAGCTACACAGTCTTTTCAGTCCTGTCCTATCTTCTGTTTGAACTAGTTCAATTCACTYACCTGACAGAGGCCTCTGGCTACACTCAGTGGTCCCCGTGCTCAGCTGGCTGGCAGGGAGAGGGCTCCTTGCTCCATCCCCCTGTGCAGTCTCACCACTACAGGCTGCAGCATCACCATCTTCTTCATGCACCACAGTTTGCTCCTTTGGACCCAAATCTTGAGGCAAGTTTGTCTCCTTCACTGCTGGTAAGTGATGATGGGTTTGGCTCTTAGCAGCAGCTTTGCCTCCTCTTAATTTGCTTCGTGTTGTGGTGCTCTTTGGCCTGTTCTGAACCCTCYTTGATGCATCAGCATCCCCAGCTTTTTTCTTTGCCTTATTCAAAATATTTGCCCACAACTCTTTAAAATCATTGTCCTGTTCATCCATTGGCTTTCCAGTAATGCTGTGGCCTAAGAACACTGTGAGGACTGGAGGGTGAGGGAAACACCAGAATCAGTTCACATTTGCATTAGCCCTTCCAGCACCTCAGAGATGTCTGTTCTCCAGACTCCAACAAGGTCTCCAGACAGAGTGGGCACTTCAAACAGTTCATTCTTCCACACCTAATTCACATTCAGCAGAGCATGTTTTCTCTCCAAGGAGCTCACCTGCTTTTACAAGCTGGTTCTTCAGAAGATTCTGGACCATAAGTTAAGCACCTCAGTTTGTGCAGAGAATTTGTAGGATCATCAGGATACGTTACAGAGCTTCAGAGAGAAATTTATGAAAGCCCTTAAACAGAGAAACAAAAGCAGGTGGTCAGGCAGTATGGTACAGGGAGATGCACTGTGGGACAAGGAGCAGAATGTTGAAGGAGAAGAGAATTTGCATGAAATACTAAGATTAGAAACAGCACATATTGACCCCAAACACTGCCCCTATAATTGTACCACAGATATGGCCAAGTTGCACTGGCAAAGGAGAGGAAAGCTTTTAAAACAGATGTCTGATCTGGGGTAGGCTTTTTTCTTGGAGCTCTGGATTTAGACTGTTCTTTTGTTACACAGATTCCTACTTAAATTTATGTAACAAAAGAYGAGCAAATGCAGCAGGAAAAATCCCCATCCTTCAGCTCAAGCAGTGATTCTGGAGTGTTAAACTCTGCTTTGAGACACTACAGTTCCAGAGAGGAGAGCTCAACCTCGTTTTGAGAAGTAAATAAATTGAGTTTCTGGCATTTCAGAAGGGGTTTTGGGACAAGTCAGAGAACAATTCCATTAAACATGTTCACCTATTCTCTCCTCTTACTTCCACAGCTGCTCACTTATGATTAGCTCTCCTGCTCATGCTGAATTCTTCCCTTGAGTACTCAATAAACCATGGCACTGACCATGTTTCACAAACTGCTGCCACATCCACGAGGTAAACAAACTAAATAAATGGTATTTTTAAATTCATTTCTTAATCTTTTCAGCTACAGCAACAACAGCAGTACTAGTAAGGGCTTACCTGGAACAGCACTGGAAATGCCATTAACTCCCAGGCAACATTAAAACTACAGCTCTATCTTTACATATTTTCATTGTCCTCTTCTTCCTAGGGCTGAGTTYATGATGGTTCTGGCTATTTTACCAGGGGTTTTATATTGCTCCCAAAACCTACTTCTTTCAAACCTTAACCAGAGTGTATCCCTTGAAATGGCAGCAGCTATAGTCCAGTTACTCCAGTAAAGCTCTGGGCACAGAAAGATTAAAAAAGCAGGAAAAACACATGGGAGATTGTTTTCTCAAATGGCTTGGCTGCAGACATGAGAGGCTGAGGAATGCTGGTTACACACTTCCATGGGTCAGCCTTTTCTATAAGCAAATACAGATGTAATGGATTTATTTATTTTAAACTCAGGCTCCCAGACCAGCAGAGGACTTTGCTGTGAATCTTGGAATAATTTCCTATTGGAGAGTAACTGAAGTTTTATGCAGCTAGTTTCCAAACTTAATTTTCCTGGACAGAACACTGGTGTAGTCATCACTGTAAATTGACCATTTTCTYCTAAGAAGGAGACAGCATGAAGAGAAATTCCAAATCTCACAGCTTACATGGCTTTAAATAACTCTCATAGACACATCTGTACTGCTCAATTATTTATGGCGGGTTCCTGATATTRAACTTTGAAACAGATCAACAATTTTGCATTTGCTATCAATGTTCAGTGCCCCAGGCAGATAAGATCACACTTATGATGCAAAASTAAGAATTTATCTGTGTTATTCCTCCCTTTCCAGACCTGTACAGGTTCCTGCTCTATTCAACATCTCAGTACTTCTGAAACTACTGCTATTGCTGCCTCTAGCAGCCAGCTTTGACACCAGTTTATTGAGCTCAAAAAGYAATGGCATTGAAAATAATTTCTTTCAGTATAACATTCAATTCATTTTGAAAGATTTTAGGACTCAAATCACAAATAAAATAATCAGCAGCACTTACCTATTTGCTGAAATGCCAAATCTGTAACTCAGCTGTGCCCTTCAACTAAACATGGATCAGCAAAATGGTACAAAGCAGGACCAGTAAGAATCAAAGCTGGAACCTGGAAAATGGAGAGGAAAGGAGGGATTTAGYGTATTTTGTACTGACTTCTCTTGATGATAATTTCCAGCAGTTCAATAAGTACCTAAGGGGGAGGCTATGAAAAAGCTGGAGAGGGACTTTGGGCAAGGGCCTGGAACCACAGCACAAGGGAAAATGGCAAATCCTGACAGAGRGCAGGGTTAGGTGGRATATTGGGAAGGAATTGTTCSCTGTGAGGGTAAYGAGGCCCTGGCACAGGGYGYCCAGAGAAGYTGTGGCTGTCCCATTCCTGGAAGTGTTCATGGTCAGGTTGGATGGGGCTTGGAGCAACCTGGGACAGCAGAAGGTGCCCCTGCCATGGCAGAAAGTTGGAACKGGATGGTCTTTAAAGACCCTTCCAATTCAAATTATTCTGTGATTCTAGGATTTAAAAGTATGCACCTATTACATGCCTTGTATTTTACTGCCTTGTAATTACTTAGTTAAATCATAAACCCCTTAAAAAAAAAACCCCAAACAGGTAGAACATCTGTTATCCTCCCACCCTCTGGAGCAGCCTCTCTTTTAACCCCTTAAAGTACATTTTCACCAGCAGTCCAACCACTTGACACTCTCTTCTGAGCTCTCAAATAGAACATTTAGGCCTGYTCACTTGCTGCTTTAAACTGTCTGTTCCAGGAACAATTCACTAGCCATTTCAGCCTCCAAGAATATGTCATCACCGTGGCTACAACAGTCCATCAGGTGCTAGGCAGGCCTCAACAACTTGTACCCAGCAGATMATTTCTCCCCTGTTGAGCCCCACAGTGGTGCCTCAGCACATCTCCTCCTCAATTCCTCATCTTTTAAAGAAAAATTGACTTTATACTTCCAAAACCAGGAAAATGCTTTGGAAGCAACTTCTTGTATTTCACAAGAAATGCTAAGGGAAATTGGATTATTTAACACTAGAAAGAGAGGCAAAAACAAAACCTGAGTTATTGTCTRGGGTTCCCAGCAAGGAAGGACATGGACCTAGAGTGAGTCCAAAGAAGGCCACCCTTCTCCCTTGCCTCCTCCTCCATCATCACCTCAGTCTTCAGAAATCAGCTAATTGCCAGGGTCTGTATGACCCCGGATTGCTAATTACAGAGTGCTGGCAGCAGCAGGATGATGGAATGGACCGTGTTGGGATAACACTGGAAGTCTCATCACCTTCTTCTCCTTTTGTGAAAGCTGTGGCCCAAAGATCTGAAGGTTGGTGACAAAACTTCCAGTCAAACCAGATSAAATACTACAAAGGAAAATAATTTCTGCAGCAACCACACCAGAAGGAGGTCCCTATGGCTTCTTCCACACCAAATCCTGTAACATAAATATCTTCCTACAGGTTCCTGATGGAGAAGAACYTAATAGCATGACTTCTKAAAAAGCACATTAYCCTSCATCCTTYTAGAGATTTTGCACTAGAGCCTGTTCTCTGCAGGTTCCTGCTCTAACCAATACCTTTATSACTACTTTATAAAGACATGACATTGCATCTGCACAGTGCAGGGTCTCTGTGGTTGCAGAAGTGCAAAAAATTAAACACTGAGGACAGCAGGGCTTGTTCTGCGAGGAGAGAACAAATGTGAGTGCAAAACAGGAATCCAAAGCAGGTACAACTCTCTCATCCTGATCTCTGCCAGCTTCCCTTTGCAGAAAAGGGTAACAAAACCAAATCAGGAAAATAGGAAATGAGAAATTAACTCAAGTTTCTATAAGCAAGGAAATAGTAGGTAAGAAAATCATACTGAGATTCCAAGAGCAATCTTAGCAGGGCTCAGCATCACTGCCCACCTGCCACCATCAACTTCCACACCCAATATCTCTTCAGTCCTCACATTTCTGTTCAAGGTTACACCTTCCCCTGCCAGGACCTTATTCATATGGCAAAGCATTTCAAAGCATTTCAGAGTCACTAAAAAAATCTATCACATTCCAGAAAGGAATTTTAGATCATTACTTACACAACAAAATGTCCTTCTACCAAAACAACTCCGAAACAGAAAATTCACTTTACACCTCCTCTGGAAGGATAAAGGGGAAGTGAAGAGAAAAATAAAAATTAACGGTCGCTCGAGTGCAAATGCTCCTAGTTGCATGCAAACACAAGAGCACACAAATCACAAAGGGAGGCAGCTGGTGATGCAAAAACCAAACTGCAAACAACAACAATGTATTAAGAGAGGACTGAATAAAATTATTTCAGTAGAAGCCCCAAAAATCAATAAAGAGAACAATACTTGCTAAAAACTCACCTGGTTTTCAGAGAAAGGAAAGTAATCAGAGTCATAATAAAAACAAAGATGTAAAATAATATCATGGTGATTGAATTAGATTGCACTGAATATAAACAGTGAATATAAACAGTGAATATAAACAGTGAATATAAACAGTGAATATAAACAATTAAATGTATTAAACTGAGGAGGCAAAATGACCTTGTCAGTGAAAGTTAAGGACTTTCAAAAAATACCATTCTTGATGTATATGGAAACCAAGAAGAAAAACCTACCAAGGYCACTAAATCAAACTGTGGAACTGTTAATCCTGAAAATACTAAATATTTCTATAATATCCATCCCCTGATGGTGCTGAAAGCAGCCTTATTTTAGAAGCAATCCAAAGCACACCAAAAAGCAGCTGCTGAAGGTGTTTCTGTCAACAGAATCGGATCACTTGCATGCAGAAGTCACTGTGATTTTTCAAAAAGGACCATTAGGGAAGTAAACACCCATGTTGCAGACTGAACTCAACACCAGGATGATAAAGAAATGGCTTACAAGGGAATTGATGAATAAATAAGGATAATAAAATTAAGCCAAATCAACAGTTTATAAAAACCCAGWCCTACATTCAGCTAATACCTACTTAACAAGAGCTCTCTGTGTTATCAGAGGGGTAATTCTTCTCTAAACCACTCAAGGAGTATCAAGGGACAAAATGAATAATTAAAATCCTACAAAATCAATATACGGCATTTAAAATTAATTAAATGTAGCTAGGTAAGTCTCAAAATGCAGCTGCAAACAGYTGTCATTGAGCACTTATGTTTCAAGTACCACCCCACAGAGATTAACTCCCTCCCTGTCCTGGTTTTTTGTTCTTTAGCTTAGGAAATGAGCTGGGAGAGACACCACCCACCAGGATCAAACTGTCAAAAAAGGGAACCATTGGAGAGTCCATCATTCTTCCAAACCACAACATGGCCTTGTTCCACGTGTCTGACTCCACCCCAACAAGGATAAATGTGACCATGTCAACCAACTCTGCCATTCTGTAGATCAAGAATGGAGAAAGAATACGAACTGAATAATTAATGAAAAGTAAAAATAAAGAGACGTAAGAACACTCCTGTGTTAAAAATCTGGGCATTTCCTTTTGAAGAAGACAATGTTATTCTGAAAGGCACATTAATTTAAAACAAGGTCTGTTCTACTGATTTTTTCCCAAAAACATGTCTTCTGRTTTGTGATTATGTCTGATTTGTGATTATGTTGAAGCCAAATATAAAGTGAAATTCAACAAAGTATCTTGAATGCTCTAAAACAGGAAGATGCTCACCTTGAAAACGTGACCAAACTCACCACATCTTCAGATGATCTGATAATGCATCTTTTACACTAACACTCCATTAATTTGTAACAATGAATAATTTGCTCTCTTCTCAAYTAAAATCCAACACAAGAGCTACAGTGAATCTGGCAACATTCTGCATGTAATGAAAATTACACTGGGAAAACAAAGGCTCAAAAGAACTTGAAGTCCATTTTCTTCCAAATGTAAAACATACCATAACAATTCTTCCACCTTCTGCTTCCAGTCTGCCTCTGACACACTCATACTGGTMTGCAGAAATCCAAACACCAAAACCAAAGGGGAAAAGAGAGACCAGAAAAGAGGTGAAGAACAGGATTTTAAGCAGATAGAAAAGCCAAGCACACAAGGACCTTTTTTGGAAGCCAAAACAGGGCCTATACCCAGTCTGTGATTTTTGAGAGTTCATACAGAGCCAACAGAGTGAGCAACAGACAATGTCACTGTCTTTGGGCTTTACTGGAGTCAAACTGATTTTGCCCAGCTGTAATTTTGGCTTTATGTAAACCTGCATGGTTAAAATAAACACCTGCATGTCTGCAGGATCAGGGACCAAGTGTTGTCAGTAAGGCAGTGGACAGTCTCCCTTCRAGGCAGGCCCACATCACAGAATTATGGAATGGATGGGGATGGAAGAYACCCTAAGGCTTATCTCAATCCACCCCATGCCATGGGCAGGARCACYTTCCACTATCYCAGGTTACKCCAAGCCCCGTCCARCCTGGCCTTGGACACTTCCATGGATCCAGGAGCAGCCACAGCTTCTMTGGRCAMCCTGTGCCAGGGCYTCCCAACCCTCAGAGGGAAGAATTTCTCCTCAATATYSCATCAAACCCTGCYCTCTGGCAGTRGRGAGCCATCYCCCCTTGTGCTGTGGCTCCAGGCTCTTGTCCAAAGTCCCTCTTYACCCTTCTGGATATGCTGTTCCTGAGCCTGTTCCTGTGCCCCTGAGCCTGGAAACCACAGGTAAAATTCCACGTTGCTTCACAAAGCRGCAACAGATACATCAGCAGTGCTTTCCTAGCTAGCACTGCTTAGAGGCTGGACACCTCAAACAACGTTTTCAGCGAATCCGACTGGCTGTCAGGGCCTGCTGGAACACTGACACTCTCGTCTCCTTCCCCTGAACAGCTCTGCCTCTGCTTAATCCCTGACTTTTTGCCACCGAGGATGGAGCTCCACCCTTCATCACCGTTTGTCCCGCAGGCCTGGACCGGCCTCACCCACACAGAGACCGCCCTGCGCGGCTGAGCGATGACGTCGCGGATGGCGTTGTATAGATGACGTCATACAAATGACGTAACGCCGGAGGTGAGGGCCTCGCCGGGACCCAACGCCGCCGCCTCCCCGCCACCAGGTGGCGCCGCGTGGCGCTGAAGGCGCCGGCGCCATGACGTCACTGCCAGCAGCCCGCCCGCCGCCGCTGGGCGCGCTCCTCTCCCGTCCTCCCGCCTGCCCTGGCCCTGGCGGCGCCCCGGCCCCACCGCCCACCGACCTGTTCGCCGCGGCCCGGGCTGGCGGCCGTGCCCGTGCCCACCGCCACGGCGGGGAGCCCCGGTGCACGGCCGGAGCGCATGCGCGGGCCGCCAGCAGGGTCTCTCGGCTCGCCGCGGGCTCGGTGCGCATGCGCGGGGCCGGTCCGCGGGACGTTGGTAGGGCCCTCACGCTTCCCGCGCGTGCGCACGGGCTTCCCGCCATCGGTTGTCATGGAGACCGTTTCCCCCATTTGCCCCCATTCCCCTCACGGGCTCGAGGGGTTCTTCTCGTCCCCTTGGCGAGGCTGAGGGGTCCAGGGCGCTCCTGCTTCTCGCCCCGGGAGAACGGCCCGAGCGGGCGACGGCGGCTGTGAGGCGAACCTGGCACGAAGCGGGCGGGCCGCGGCCACCAGGGGCACCCGAGCGCCGGGGGAAGTGGCGGCGGCCCGGGCAGCACTTCCCGCTTCACGGCCCCGGGCCCGGGAGACGTAAAGTAAAAACGGGAGGGCTTTTGATCAAGGCCTCGGCACCACTTGTCGATGAGGTGAAGGGCCAGTCTGGGAAGAGCACTGGGAGAGGGCCAGTCGGAAGAAAGAGGAGAGCTTACGGCGTAGCCTGGCTCGTTTGTATTTTTAAGGAATTCGAGTGTATCGAAATATATGTATATATATATATAAATATAAGTTGTAAATAGGGAGGAAATACACAGCACCTGCGTGTGAGCACGGAACTGCCATTTAAAATTACTGGTCTTCACATTAAAACCTCAGGCACACCTGTGCTGGTGTGCAGCTGCAGCTGAAGCCCGTTAAAATTGCAAYGTTTTGAGGTTATAATCGATGCTGTGCTGCTCATATGGAAATTGATGGAAACACTGAAATGTCACGGTGAGCAGTAGCATAGCTCAAGCTTTTCTGTCAAAAGAGCATTGCCTTTTAATTTTGTATTTTTTTCTGCCTGAGGTTGAGCAGGAAAACAAATTCCCTTTTTGCACTACCTTTGGCTCCAGCTCAGAGTCCTCATAATGAGTATTACCTTGGAGTCAGGATCAACAGTCATTTCCTCCAGGTCATTAGCTAATTGTGGCCAAAGGTTTGCAGGTTTGTAAAATCACCTGAGATAGGGTGGGGAGGTTCATGCACTGGATCTGCCTTTTGAATGCATTATTGCAATCAAAATGTCAATGTTGAAATCAGGACTTCTTTCTCAATACTTGGTCTGGCTGTAACAAGAACCAAAATCGCTCCTGGGCAACAGTTGTTAACAGGGCAAGAGGCAGAGGAAGAGGTTTAGTGGTACACAGAACATACTGGAGCTTCAAAAACATCAAGACAGGCATATCACTAATAGTTACAAATCAGTTCTAATGGTGAACCGTATGATGTCTGCTTTACACATAACATTTCCCCATAATTATACCTCAATCCATAATTTGACATCACCAAAAGAAACTGACATTGCCTGTTTGGCAACCTCAAGAAAAAGATCAACTARAACTTTTAAAATGAAATAAGCTCCYGAGGCACTGTGACTTTTCCAGCACAGCAATTTAATTTTTAACGCATTCAAACAATTTTAGCTGGAAACCCTTGAATTTTAAGAAAAATTGTTATTTTGGCAGAACAGAGGGGTGTATTTTTGCAGTGAATCTCCYTGGGAGATGCAATGTGCCCCTGTCAGTCCAAAACTGATGTGAAGAAATCCTTTGGTTTGTGTCTTTCAACACTTCTGCTGGTTTATTCAAGTTCTTGCCCAAGTTGCTCTACTGATGGGAATTAGGAGCCCTCCGAAGAAAATCCTGCAAGAAYTTGCAACTGCCAATTGCACAAACAGATTGAAAATGCTCTAATTATATACCATGACACAGGAACTACACCAAGGCGCAGGAACATCTCATTGCTCAGTGCCCTAAACTCAAAAGCGGTAAAAAGCCAAAGAAAATGTGGTATTCCCACTGGAATAAAAGCACTGGCACTTAATGGTCCATCCTGGGCACCAAATAGGCATCTGTTTCACAGGACATTTCAAGGCCATTCCTAAAGGCAACAAGGACRTGATTGTCCAGTCACTATTTGTACCCAACATCAGCTGGAGGATGCAGCCACAATGACAGGTACACGGAAGAGAAGCAGCTCTCCCAAAATCAGAGGCAGACTGGACTTCAACTCCCAATTTTTTAAAGTTCACTTCCCCATAACCAACCCCCCTGGGAACTGCTTGGTATCAGATATAGTTCAGGACCCCAGTGTTTTAGGCTCCAGTATGAAAATTTTGGCTTAATTTAATGTGTACTCACCCCTGAATTACAACTGCRTAGATGCAAGCAGGTCCCTGAAATAGCAACACTTTGGATACATGCTGTGAGAGGTAGGATATTTACTGTCACACTGTGGCTTTGGGTTGTCTCTGCAGAAAACAACAATTATGGAACTTGTGAACATTATTGCCAACATGAAAAGGTTTTTAAAATAACTGCTGGAATTCGCCATGCAGTGGGATTTATAGTAAATATGATTATCTACRTGTCTATGAATACACAGATTATATATTATATAGAATGTACATATTTATCCCCGGTGTGCTGCAGTCAGCATTGTTCAAATTTTTTTTTTGTGTTTCATTTTCTCTGCACAGTTTAAGGGTAGATCTCCTGCTGTCTGTTAAGACGTGTAACACTGGTGGCTTCAGATGAACTTTTTTAAGCTTTCCATACAAATTGATTCAATTCAGTTCAAAAGTGATCAGAAAAGCAGCCACTGAGGCCAAATTCCAATGAGGAAAGTTTGGGTTTGCATTAATTTATTGGGTTAATCTCCCTTCTCATGGGCTGTGGCCATGCTGGATGACAGACCTCAGTGCAAACTCAGCAGAGTCTTGAAARGGCCAAAAGGAAAAAAATACATCATTTTCCTCAAGAGCAGTCTGGTTTGTTTTCCTCTAAAGTGTGAATTTTGGGATGGCACAGGCCTCTACATCTAACTCCTCTTGCCKGCCAGAAGAACAATCATGTTTCCATTACGTAACTCACATGGCATGAACTTGAGTGGTATAAACCAAAATTCATCTGGTTCTCCTGGGAAGTGAAATGAATTMTCAATTCTAAGAAGAATCACCATAATTCAGTAAGGGCACTGGGCATTAAAGAATCTCTAAACACATTAAAAATGCAGTTCCCAACTAAAAGCCCTAATCCCTATCCTTTGATTTCCTGAAGCATGTTGCAAGATAAGTTTGAACATTTGTTTTTTAAACTACTTGCTAAACTACTTGAGACAGAACAAGTCCAAYGGTCAAGAGGTGAAACAAAATTCCAGCTGAATCTCCCTCTGCCCCCAATCACAACTCCAACTTCCCAAGTTTCTAAGGATTTAATGTGGGACAGTTCCATGAAGGACTGATTTATTTACTTATTTATGGGTTTTAACTCAGTTACCCCTAATTTATTTGGGCTGCAGAAGGAGAACAAGCTTTGCCTGGCTTCTCTGTTAACTCACCCCAAATCCCCTGCAAGTTACATCATGGCATTTGGAATAACATTGGATGGACATTTAATGGACAATTCATTACAATACCTTTAGCCATGCAGTTTTAAAAAGAGGAGGAAACTGCTTCTTTCCCCACTTTTTCATCCTTCCTGCTGCTGTTAATAGATTTAACAATGAGACCATCAGGGATCCTTGCAAATTTACATATTTACGGAAGTCTTTGGTCCTTGTGCTCCTGCCAACTCTTCCATTTTGGCCATGACTTAGGGGAGACTTTACTCATTTCCACCTGTTTGCACATCAAACTGATTCCAGGAGGGATGTGATGGGAAAGATCTTGTGATTTTAGATTAAATTCTTGCTAGAAGGAGCTCCAGCACCAAGGAACACTTCTATCCTGGGAGAATAGGGAAATGAGTGTCCAGGCAGAGAAAATTCTCTCCTGGCCTGGGCTCCATCAAACCACAACATCAGCCACAAAGTGCACCAGGGAAGATGGAACTGAGGTGTAAAGAGGGAGGTAAAGGAGAAACAAAAGATGAATCTGAGAACAGAGGGAGAACAAATGACCTTTTTTTTCTGGAAGAAAACCTTCCTGCTGATAAAAGAAGAGGAAAACCCATGTTTAACTTAGTCTGGAAGTATCAAGAGATGTGCAGTTCTGGGGAAGATAGCAAGACAGATTTTAGCATCCTTTTCTTCCCAGGCAATAGAGTAGACAGCCAGCTAGAAAGGATTTAGTACAGGATAATTCCAATAAGCAGCAAGCTTCCAAGTGATTCTCTGAAATCCCAGGAATTTTTGAATCCAGGAGTCACGGGGAAACCACATGATCTCAATAGGCAAGGTTTGGGCAGACCCAGAACTGCCCTGGGAAGAACTTTCAACTGAGCAAGGTGTTGGGCAGAGCCTCTTGAAGGTGCTGTAAGTTTGTGTTTACTGSCTCATCCAAATCCAGCAGGTACTGGATTTGGTACTGTCTTCATGCCTCTGGATCTTGGAGGGATCTGTTTCATGTTGTGGTGGGATTCCAGAGTCCTGAACTGTGTCCCTAACACAGATTCAGTGTCTCTTAAGGAAATCTATTAAGGCTCCATACAGACCTTATTTGTACAGTCAGAATAATTCTGASTCACTTCACAATGAGAGCAGGAGGATTAATTGATAACTACAGAARTGCTAAACATTATTAATGGCTCCAAGTTTTCTTCTCTTGGAAACAGTGGCTATTTCTTCCCATAATGTTTTAAACAGTTGCTGCTCAAGGAGCTTAGATTGCAGATTCCTGRCTTGTGGTTTGTCCATAAATCACAGACCTGGAGCTTACCCAAGACACTCTYGATGGTCTCAGCAGGAAGTCTGGACAAGAGAAAACTGTTCTCAGTCTGGCCCTGTCAACCACTTTATGGCCAGTCCAGCTTCAATGTCCCATGCCAGACGTGAGAGGGATTCTGTCCAAGTTTAAAAGCATGAGGTCTCTGRAATGTCCTTTCAAACTGGATTTCACTCCCCATAAATATTTTCCATCTTCTGCCCTGAAGAATATAGGTTTGACTTCACAGCTGATGAGCCTGGGCAGGGCAGCAGAGGGGGCCATGCTGTTTATCACCGATGGTTTTTCAGCACATGAAGTTTAACTTGTAAAA